CAAAGCACTTAACGTGGACTTTGTGCAATGATTTATGCCTCAGTTATACCTACTCGTTCATAATGTGTCCTTCACACATGTAGAAGATGCTGGAATTTGAGTTGACGCCCATGACCGGGTTTTCAGCTACATATTTAAACTAATTTATTGATACTTTTCCATTGAAGACTGAAAAAGTAGAGTGGCCACTGAAATAACTTATAATTGAGAGACGTCTTTATTAATCAAATATTAGTGAAAATAAACTGGAAGATATTGCTTTTTAAATTATAGTTGAACAGAAGCAATCTACAGACGCTGGACTGGACAAATGCAAAAGGGGCCAACAATTTTGTTCACGTCTATATCAGTTTTATGTCTTGTTTTGTGTTTATTACATTGTTATTTCTGCTAAAAATCTTTGTACATCTGACGTTTGCATTTAAATGGGCGATATTATGCAGAAATCACTTTTATAAGGGGTTTAAACACAGTTGTGTGTCAGCAGTGTGTGAATATATCCAGCTTCTAATGATAAAGATGTATTAATAATGTTTGTTTATAATCAGACTTGATGGAAACACTTTGATTGACATTCCCCCTTTGTACGTGTCATCAGAGGGGGAAAGCCCCGCCCACTAGAGACCATATCTCCCTCATTAGCATAAAACAAGGATTACCAAACTTGTTCCTGGAGATTTTAGCTCAAACCCTAATCAAACACACCTGAACAAGCTAATCAAGGTCTTACTGGGTGTACTCGAAACACCCAGGCAGGTGTGTTGAGGCAAGTTGCAGGGCACCAGACCACCAGGAACGAGATTGGTGACCCCTGGCATAGGACATCAGTCTTGTTGTTGAATCTGCCACTATGCTGACATGCAGGCATTTGTAGCTCCGCCCTCTTCAGAAAAAGAGCTCAATCTCATTTGCATTTAAAGTGACAGTCACCAAAACGCCACACTTAGGATCAAAACCTGAATGTAGGCTCTAATGTCAGTCCGCTGTCATCCGTTTGGTGTGTTCACCCACAGCTTTTTGGTCCAGACAGTCGCAGACGCAGTCGACACAGTCAGCTTTTAATTCCTTGATGTCAGCCTGGTGTGTCTCGGGTTTTACAGTCTAATGCATGAGAAAAACATTCACATTCAAGCTGTATCCTGATTAAATGATTTCATTTCCCTCCTCAGAGTCCCCTTCCAAGCTTTCACCTCCCGATGAATTTACTGGAGTGGTTTCCCCAACAGCGGATGAAGACCAAGCGGGAGGAGATCAAGGATCTGATCCTGAAGCTTCAGACTCAGCAGCAGCTCAGCCTGGAGAGCTCTGATCAGACGGACGGCGCTCACAGCCCTTACGAGGACTCTCTGGAGTCAGCAGACCTCATCCCATCAGTCAGCTCCTGAGCTCCGTCACATGACCAACAAACACTGACAGCCAATCCGGGCCTTGTGTGATCGCGCGCTGCTGGACGACCCTGCCGTTATTTCCGACGATCTCCTTTTAGTTTTGATGATGCGAACTTGAAAAGAACAACTTTGTGTTTGTTTGTCTGATTTCATTTGTATCTAATAAATTGTACATAAGCTAGGCGTTTCTCTGACTTTGACACGTCTGCTGCCTTTTGAGTTTAACGTCTCAGACATCCTTCAGTTTTGCTGCATCTGTGAAATAATAAAACGTCACGTGTTCATCATGTCGGACGGCTCGCTCTAATGTGCCTATAGGGTTATCAGCACAGTACTGTTGAGTGTTGCGTTTGGACTGACGGAAAACCGGTGCGCTTTTTTTTGTAAAGTCGCTCTCCGAGCAAACTTTGTGTGATTAAATCGATTCGTTTTTCAATGTTCTGCTATCTGCAACAGTGCACATCTGCCATGGTGGACAGTCAAATACAAGAAAATCACGTGTCAACAAACATGAGGCTTTGCTTATTCATCACTTTGTTTTTCTTTACACATTTGATCCACGGTTGGGCTCTGCTGACGCCGTGTTTACACCAGACGCACACATGAATGAACCGTGGTTTAAATAGACACGTGAGCATTTTTAGTGTACAGGGGGTGCCATTTATATTGATACACTTTAATAAAATGGGAACGTTTAGTGATATTAGCGTCCTGTTTGTGGCACATTACCGTACGTTCACACCGAAAGCGGCGAGAGCGTCAAAGTAGCCGGAAGTCATTTATTTTCAATGAGAGCCAGCGGCGAGGAGTAGCGGCGCGTCTTCGCTGGCATGGGCGTCGAGGAGAGTTAAAATCAAGTCAACTTTATGGTAATGAGCTAGGATGCGGTTCGGCGGCAACCAATCAGAATGAAGACGTCAGTTCAGACAACACAGACCTGCGAACTTTGGTTCCAACCACAGTTGTTCCCAAGGGTTTGATGATTGCGGTCGCCGGATTTCCAATTATTTACAATGTTTACTTAAGGGAAAATGCATTAAATACGTTACTGATGTGCATTAATGTTATATATATTTATCTTAAAGCGGGAATCTCACGCGACATGACAGTACAAAACAGACATACGGACACATATTGGATAAATAGAGCAAAGCCACACCACACGCAACTTGATCTTCCATTGTTATATGAATTTGATAAGAAGTGCGCAACATTTTCACGCTAGAAACATGTCTTATGCAGGAATGTAACTGATATGCTGCGACGGCTCCTTTAAATACGAGATCAATGTAGCGAATTTTGACGCTCTCGCCGCCGGAGCTGAAGGCAGACAGCGTTTTCGCCGGGGCGGAATGAGCGACCTTGGACGCCCTCGCCGCTTTCGGTGTGAACATACGGTTAGTATAAGTGAGGGGGCAAACTTTTCAAGATGGGTGGTGGCCATTTTAAAGTCGGCCATCTTGGATTTAACTTTAATTTTTTTTTTTATAGGAAGAGGGTCATGTGACACATCAAACGTATTGGGAATTTAACAAGAAAAACAACGGTGTGCTTGGTTATATTCTTTCATGAGTTATTTACAAGTTTCTGACCACTTGTGTTCAATGTGCGGCGCATTGTGTTGGATTATCAATGCAAGCCTCTTCTCCCACTCTTCACACACTGATAGCAACACTTGAATATTGTATGATAACTTGTCATAAAGCTCAATCATCTCAAGACTGGTGAACATGACAGTTAGTTCACTGTACTCAAATGGCCTCCACAGTCACCAGAGCTCAATCCAATAGAGCAGCTTTGGGATGTGGTGGAACGGGAGATTTGCATCATGGATGTGCAGCCGACAAATCTGCAGCAACTGTGTGATGCTATCATGACAATATGGAGCAAAATCTCTGAGGAATATTTCCAGTAGCTTGTTGAATCTCTGCCTTGAAGGATCAAGGCAGTTCTGAAGGCAAAAGGGGGTCCAGCACGGTACTAAGTGGCCGGTGAGTGTTTTTTTTTTTTACCCAGTTCAATCTGATTATGTATCTTTTGTACCGCTTCTAGTTGTTTCTTTGTTTGAAGTTTATTTTATTTATTCGAGTGCCTTTTATTCATTCTTGTAAAATGGGAATATATAGGCCTTCTTTAAACTGATTTCTTACTAAGGGAAAGTGGTGCAAAGCTTCAACTATTAAAAAAAGAAAATAAAAAAATGAGGCTCTTTGCAATTTCTAAGTATAAATTATTACATGATTTACATTCAGATGTGTTTACTTATAAACAATAATGCACATTTGTGTTTTGTATCAGTGTATATATGTTTAAATATGGAAGATGAAACTTGCAAAAGGAATAAATAAATGAGTAAATAAATCCATTAATTCCTGCATAAATAAAATAATGAATAAATATGCAAGTGAATAAATGTATAGAAAAAATCCACAAATTTCTGCATAAATACATATATGAATAATTTCCGCGGTAGGTAGTGCTGTCGCCTCACAGCATGAAGGTCGCTGGTTCGAGCCTCGGCTGGGTCATTTGGCGTTTCTGTGTGGAGTTTGCATGTTCTCCCTGCGTTTGTGTGGGTTTCCCCCACAGTCCAAACACATGCGGTACAGGTGAATTGGGTAGGCTAAATTGTCCATAGTGTATGAGTGTGAATAAGTGTGTGTGGATGTTTCCCAGAGATGGGTTGCGGCTGGAAGGGCATCCGCTGCGTAAAAGGTGCTGGATAAGTTGGTGGTTCATTCCGCTGTGGCGACCCCGCATTAATAAAGAGACTAAGCCGAAAAGAAATTAATGAATAATTTCCTTATTTCCCCAACATTCGTGTAATTTATTTAATTATTTACCTGCCCACACTATCAATTATTGATATTTAACTATGCTCAAATTTGTGATTTTTTGTTATACATTTATTTATTTGTTATATTATTATGCCGTAATTTATGGATTAATTTTCTTATTTAATTATATATATATATATATATATATATATATATATATATATATATATATATATATATAATTATATAATTAAATAATTATATATATATATATATATAATTATATATATATATATATATATATATATATATATATATATATATATATATATATATATATATATATATATATATATATATATATTTCAAGTACATCAGATTCTCTCACACACACACACATAGTGATTGCGATTTTCTTACCCAATTCGATGTGATTGTGTATCTTTTGTATGCTTTGAACAAAGAACTATTCTTTTTATTTTATTAATAAGAGTGCCCTGCGATGTTGGTTATATATAGCCAGTTCTGTGCTGTACAATTTGCAATAAAAAAATAAATAAATAAACTTTACCGCCGTCTCTAACCTCAAAATACGTGTGTTTTCAATTGGAAAACGCCAGAGGACGCTGCTTTCCATCCATCCATTCATCAACAAATCTGGCGTTGTCGATAACCATACCTGCTTTTACCATGACAGACGTATTAATTAGAGCTATCAAATCAAAATAAACCGTGTGTGTGTGTCGTAAATCACCAATATATCCATAATTCACCCAGAACGCGCAGAGAAGCAGGAGGAGGAGGCGGGCCTTTTACAGGGGCGCGCGTGACGCCACAACGGAGCGTGGACTTCATCCCGGGATTTCGGGCTGATCAACATCCGGGACAGCGGCTCTGAGCTCGCGTGAATGCCTTCAGTTCACTTCACCGACCGACCGACCGACTCACCGACGGACCGACTGCACGGCCAGAGCAACGGAGGTGAGTTTCATCCCTTCCCCACCCGCGCTTTTGCTTTTACCTGGAGTGTGAATGGCGAAATGCAGCGTAACGTTACTCGGATAACGCGTATAAGTTAGTCATGGCAACTGAACAAAAATATTGTCATCATTGGCGAGGAAAAGCCAGGAAATGATGTGCTGATGTTGTGTACTGCGCTCCTCCGAATCAGGGATGCGTTTATACCTGTCCTCGGATCAGCTGATGGTCATAGCAGCTTCGCTGGATGTAAATATGTGTGTTATTCGTCCATTCATTTGGCCTTTTTACCTCAGAATTACATCAAATGCTTCCTGCTCACTCGTATACCTCATTTACCTTGCAAATACTGATGCTGCTGTGCTTGTGTAAGGGATTCAAATCATCAGGCAAACTTTCTCTCCCAGGCTCTTGTGTTTGTGTGTAGTGTGCTCTGTGTTGAGTCTTGTTGGCCTGAAGGATCATAAAGGCTTCACTGAGGTTATTCAGTAGGTTGTCTTTACAGTAAGTTGCTCCTGCGGTGTCACAAGAAGTTGTAAATGCCCTTTGCTCCTTCAGGAAACTTGTCCTATATAAGATTGAGGTGAGGTTGGGTTTATATTGGCACATTCTGAGTTTATTCTTAGTAATGTAATCTGGGAAAAGCGTTGCTTGCTAATTTGGGAAGTCATATTAGCTTGTGACTGTCAAAGATTGTTCACAGTCAGTTAAATAGTGCTAATGTTGTTTTAAAGTCATATTTACATGCAAATTCAGACCGAATATTCAAAGTAGTGTGATAAAAAAAAACATATAGGGAGCACGTCACGAGATATCAATGTTCAAAAATGAGCAAATGTGCGATTATGAAGCCAACTTTACCTCAGTAGTTAGATCTGGCAGTCACACATTCATTCATCATCTGGCAAGTCATTCATTCATTTTTTTTCTCGGCGTAGTCCCTTTATTAAACAGGGGTCGCCACAGCGGAATGAATCGCAGAATGTTTTACGCAGCGGATGCCCTTCCAACTGCAACCCAACACTGGGAAACACCCATACACTCTTGCATACACTACGGCCAATTTAGCTTATTCGGTTCACCTGTACTGCAAGTCTTTGGACTGTGGGGGATACCGGAGCACCTGGAGGAAACCCACGCCAACACGGGGAGACAACAAAGTCAATACAACAAATATTTTTATGTTGATTTAAAGCTCTTATGAAGCTAAAATAAAGTTTTAAGGATGTTAGCATCAGTGTTATTAGTTTTTAAGATATCTATAAGCTGGTGTGCCCTAAAGCGGTGGTTCTCAAAGTAGGTGTCGGGACCCCCCGAGGTGTCACATCATACTTCAGTTTCTTATCAAATCTTCTGACCAATCAAATGCTCTCTAGTGTCTAACAGGCCCCGCCCTCTTTAGGACGCTTCTCATTTAAAGAAAGCTGTGATTAAACAAAACACTTGGCTACTCTCTAAGCCCCGCCCTCTCTTCATGTTTTGGTCCAGATTATGTCAAACATCGAATAAAAGTGCACATTTCAAAGCACGTCATGGGACATTTGAGTTATTTTAATAAGATAATCAGCTCTCAGCTAACTTTATTAAGCTGTACAGAGTTTAGCTTAATTTTTTAAGTCAGTCTGATTGATGTAAGTTGAGATGACTAGACACGTTCAGTTGATTCAACTAAAATTGAAGCCAGCAAAAGTCTTTTCTCAGTGTACTGCCTGATGATTTGGGAACGGCTGGTTTGTTGTTATGCTCTGTCTGTCCATTATAATGAAGGAAATATGAGAAGGACACACACACAGAGACATTATTTGTGTGTATATATATATGTGTGTGTGTGTGTGTGACCTCAATGACACACCTACAGGTGCGGCTGGGCTGTGGCTCACTTCAGCTGAATTTTACAGACGTTTCTGTCATATGCTCCATAAAGCAGTCCACATGTAATTGCTTTCACTGCTGAGGTGTGTCATGCAAGTTCTACATAACTCAATGGCTAATGCTTATTTCCTTCTTGATGATCTTAGATTGATCATCTTTATGGGATGGTTTTGTCAAATGTTATGCACCCCCTCACGGCAACATGAGGAGAACATGCAAGCTCCACACAGAAACGCCAAAAGACCCAGCTGAGATTCGAACCAGCGACCTTCTTGCTGTAAGGCCACAGTGCTTACCACTGCGCCACCGTGCCACTATAACCAGTTACACACTTTCCAAAATTAAACTGCAAATCTAATCACTATCACCAAGTGTGTCAAGAAGATCACCCAATGCTGATGTCTGCTACCGGGACAGAGCTTGATTGGGACAGAGCCATGTTCCAGGATGTGTTTGTGAGAAACTTCATTAAAGTCTGGCAGCAACTTGTTAGGATATATTTGTTTTATGTTCATATGTTCTGCGATTTTAACCTGTTCAATTGGCGAAGCACTGGCGCACACTGTAGAATTAGCTGGACCGTAATGACAGCAGTGTTTGTGTTGGTCTCGTCAGACTATTGTGTGTCTGATGATCAGACCGGTTGCATGTCTGACCTTTCTGCTGGCAAACAGGTTGTATCACTTCAGACTCTTGAGAACTCTTTATTCCTTCTTGTCGTCTGTATTAGAATTGAAATCATCGCAGACTCGCTGAAAAATAAACGCTTCAGTTTTAAATAGTTTGTAACGCCACAAAAACGTAATCAACATATGTTTGACTGAAGTTTGAAGTGAAATGAATCTATTAAATTTACAAACGTGTGTTCGTAGTGCACTTTTCTCTTACGTTTGCATTTGAAAACACTATTGGTTGGGTTTAGGGAAGGGTTAATTATGGCTGCACAATGTATAGTTTCAGCATCAATATCGCAATGTGATCATTTGCAATAGTCACATGATCGCAAGTATACGCAATGTTGATTCTGGATTATAATTATCATTTCACATGTTTGTTTTTAGGCCTGTGACTGCGTGAGGGTTTGAAAAGCATTCAGGCCTAAGAAACTGTACCAATAAAAACTTTCCAAATTAAGAAACGATTCATTTAATTGAACTGTTTATAAAACGAAGACTACGCAGTATTATTTTACATTGGATTATTCAATTACTGTACACCTGAATACAGTTCGAAATACAGTTCAAAAACAATTAAACGCTGTTCATTTAATTTGTATCTTTTTCATTATTGAATTTATCTATGCTTGTCGATTTGTTTCTGATATTTTATGAATATGCACTTCCCTACAGAATCATCCAAATCAATCTACAATTATCAATTCTTTCCGAATAGAGATATTGACGTCATCTAGTGAAATTGTCTTCCTATCAAATATATATATATATATATATATATATATATATATATATATATATATATATATATATATATATATATATATATTATATATATGGCTGATTCCAGCGTTATGGATGTGACATTTGCAGTAAAAATTCAAAACATAAATTCGCAGAGAAAGTATATGTTAACATTATATTGAATCATCTGTTTATATTTTCCAAAACAACTAACCATAGAGTTATGGGATCAAAAAAATTTAATCTGTGAACATTTTTATACTTTAAATGAGGAAAATAAACACGCGTTATGGATGTGACAAAAAAAAGTCTGCAAGTTTACAGTATACAACATTTTTCGTAGAAATTCTGTGAATTAAACTGCACAACCCAAAATAAATAATGCTCAACAAAAGGATAAGAGTTGGCTCTTTATAGAACAAAACTGATTGATTTTATTTTATTTTGACATTTTTGCATTTTTGAGGGAAAAGCTGTGTTATGGATGTGACACTTTTTCGTTATGGATGTGACGGATGTGAAATTACCATTTGTTTGACTTTGGTAAATCAAATATAATAGTTTGAAAACATTGACAGAGACATTTTTAGGTATTTTTAAACTACTGTAAAACACTTGCCTGCGCAAAAAATGTAGAAACGGTTTCGCTATTTTGGTGAAAACATTTTTCTTTTCATGGCAAGGTTGACATTTTCATGGAATTGCTCATATATATATATATATATATATATATATATATATATATATATATATATATATATATATATATATATATATATATAGCAGAATAAAGAAATATCGCAATGTTTTTCCATTTTTCCAATATCATGCAGACCTAGTTTGGATTAGCTCCAATAGATTATCTTGGATTACAGCGCCCTCTAGTGGATTTGTCGTCTTAAACGTGCAACAAAACGCAGCAAAAACAACGTATTTTACATTTCACAAACATGTAGCCCAAAGCATGTATTTCCAATGAGTCTGGGCTGGATAAAATCATTAACCGTTCCCACTTTGAGAATTGCTTGTGTGTCATGCATGTGTCTTATGATGTAGAAACGTCTGGCACTGATTAACTCCTTTTACCAGCACTGTCACACCACAGTCAGGTCTTTTACATTAGTGCGAGAGTTTGACCTGTGATCGCGCTGAACAGTCAATCTTTAAACCACCTGCAAAATCGGAGCTCTTCCGCTCAGGCTGAACTAATACTAAAAACACTAAAAGTGTCTGAACACAGCCTTCACATGTATGACACATTATAGTTTTGATAATAAATACACATATTAATAAATAAATCTATTTCTTTACCGTTCCATGCAGAATATGTAATATAAAGTTACATAACAGTTTTAAATAAATCAGAAACAAATGTGATAATAACTTATTAATACACTCAACAACTTTACTTGTACACCATTTGTTGGAAATAATAATAATAATCTAGTTAGTATTTTATACTATTAATATGAAAAATATACAAAAGGATTTTCTTGATTAATAAAAGTTTAGTAAATATGTTCTGTACAACATAAATATAGTTCAATACATTAATAACATGACACACAATTCTATAATACATTTAATATATTGTGTTATAATATCATATTATGAATAGAATTAAAATAAATAAATGACCACACTCCCCTGTAATTTAATTAATGATAATGATTGTGTATGACTGTGAATATGTAATTTGTATTTATTATTTGT